TCTAATTTATTTTAGTCTAATTTATTTTTATTTATCATATTTATATATATATGCTTGTTGAAGTGCGCTCCAAAATATTTGTTGATCTTGTTTATTGGTATTTATTATTTTGATATCATTTATTTTTGTATTGGTTTTTCAGTTGAATTATACGTTCAGGGTAATCAACAGTTAAAAAGACACTGTTCAAATTATTATTTGTATTTGTTTTAAAGTTCAATAAATGGATGTTTTCAAAGTCAATGAATAATCGTATTTAATAATCGTGATATCAATTATTGACCCAAATAATCGTGATTATGATTTTTGCCATAATCGCACAGCCCTATAAAGGAGTATTACTCTGATTGTTAAAACGTCAAGTTGTTACATTTTCCTCTGGCTTTGGAGAGAGCTATTTTAAGACCAAGGACATTTCAAAAGGGTCTTTACTTAAAAAATCCAGCAGAGCTTTACGGGAAGATATGTGTCAATGATAGGCCTAATTTGCCTGGCCCCGCCCTACCTCTCTGAGCTGTACCTCACACAGCTACACGCCCACTCGCACTCTCAGGTCAGCTGATCAGTTGCTCCTGAGGGTGCCAAAAACCAAGTCTAAGCGCAGAGGGGACCGTGCTTTCTCTGCTGCCGCCCCTAAACTGTGGAACGAGCTGCCCTTGCTAATCAGACAGGCTCCCACACCGTCTGTTTTAAATCCCGTCTTAAAACCCACCTCTTCTCCTTAGCATTCGTAACCAAGTAGATTGTTGCTTTTATTTGCTTTCAGTGGTCTATTGTTTTTACTATATGGTTGTTTTTATTTTGTAATTGTTACGTTTATTCTGGTTTGTTTTGTGTTCGTATCTTTTATGTGATTTTATACTTATTTTTATGTTTTGTGAGCTGAGCTGTGTGATTTTATATTGGATGTATCTCTCTGTACAGCTCTTTGGTCTGGAGGTTTTAAAGTGCTATATAAATAAAGTTGGATTGGATCATTTTAACTCCAATTCCTCCATCAAGGATCCTCTGTTTTCCACCTTTTTAAAGGGGCCGCTGACTTGTTCATGTCAGAGGAGCATTACTCTGATTGTTAAAAACATTGTCTGGCTTTGGAAGGAGCTATTTTGAGACCATGGTCATTTCAAAAGGGGTCTTTACTCTCTGCTTCCAAGATGTTTTTAGTGTGTGTTACAGACAAGGGAAGAAGGCTCTGATGAACCGTGCTATCAGGTTGCATTTTAGGAAGTGTAGGATCCGGGGGTTCTGGAGCTTGACCTATGGGAAGAAATATCTGTATATTTTAGCCTCTGCTGCTTTGAATTGGACTCCATGGGACATGCAATACAACACATTTTCATACTACATATCTGTCAATAAAATCAACTCATAAATTACGTAAATAAATGACGATTTGCATATCAGTGCGTTATCAGGGTTCAATCCTACCCGGTCTTTGGAGTCCTTGGGCAAGATAATAGATCCCAAATTGTATCTGTAGGCATGTCTATGGTATTGAAGTGTTTTGAAATCATTTGTGTGTTTGAAATCTAAGAGTTGCTTTAGTCGAGGAAAGCCCTTGAACCCAGCTTACTACTCGTCAAGTAAAAACGTAGCATTTATAGTAAATCCCAACAAATGCAACTCTTTTTTCATCATTTTTAATAATCTATGTGATCTCCCATTATGGCTCTGTGTGTGTGTGTGTGTGTGTGTGTGTGTGTGTGCGTGCGTGCGTGTCCACCGTGAGCCTGGACTCTGTAGCAGTGTCTTCTGTGTTTAAGTTGACACAGCTGGTGGGCAGGATGTCAGTTTCAGGCCTCTGTCTCTGTTTGTAATTCTCCCCTTAGAGAGCAGCCTTCCTCTGCTATAAATAGCCTCTACATGTGTGTGTGTGTGTGTGTGTGTGTGTGTGTGTGTGTGTGTGTGTGTGTGTGTGTGTGTGTGTGTGTGTGTGTGTGTGTGTGTGTGTGTGTGTGTGTGTGTGTGTGTGTGTGTGTGTGTGTGTGTGTGTGTGTGTGTGTGTGTGTGTGTGTGTGTGTGTGTGTGTGTGTGTGTGTGTGAGCCCAACCTCTCCCCTGTGTGCCCAGAGAGAATGATGTTTCTCCACACGGCATTTCCATCTGTATGGTGTGTGTGTGTGTGTGTGTGTGTGTGTGTGTGTGTGTGTGTGTGTGTGTGTGTGTGTGTCTCCATGTGTGCAAGATGATGGTGGCTGTAATGATGATGAGTGTGTGTACTGTGTCTCACATCATGGAGAGATGGTTTGATTTGATGTGACACACACACACACACACACACACACACACACACACACACACACACACACACACACACACACACACACACACACACACACACACACACACTTGTGCCTAGTCTATAGAGAGGGAAGATCTTATTTCTTGCTTTGTCTTTCCATTTTTCTTAAAACCTCTTAAAACATAATAAAAAATAATTGCAATATGGACGAATGCATTATTTAAATGACAGAAAGAATCCTTTATTCCTCCTGCAGCGGGGAAATGTGTTACAAAAGCAAAGGTACAATCAAAATAATAGGCAGAAAGGAAACTTAGAATGAAATTAAAGAGGCACACGAAACAAAATACATAAATAAAATCGAATGAAAGAGAATAAATGAAATACTTAAAAATAAGTGCACATCCATGCTTAAAACAATTGCCAGTAATAATATTAATACATTGTAAAACATAAACTGTGTATTGCACATAATCAGTGGTATTGCACAACAGTTTTAAAACACACATGTTTAATAAATACAGGGAAGCTGCAGAGATAAACCCGAAAACCCAAACCTGAGAAAAAGCACAAGTTGACCTTTTTAACAGAACATGTACGTTTGGTAAAGATCCTCCTTGCATGTACATGTTTCAAAAATGACCAATCCCTCCAATTTCGTGAAAAACATTGCAAATACAGTCAAAGTTATCGCGGCAATCAAGTTTCTTTCTCCAAATGGTGCAGCCCTTCTGATATCTGGAAGGCTCATGGAGTGATTTAAGGGTTTTCTGTTTTTTGAAGCGTTGTTGGAAGACATGTTTGTGTTTGGTGGAGTTCTTGGAGTTCAACAGATGGCCGAGGCAGTCAATGGGATGCCGTCCTCGCCCTCTTTCCAACCCTTTCTCCTTTCTCTCTCTCCTTTCTCCGTCTCTGTCTGCAGAGCTGGGAAGTAGAGGGGTACAAATACTTAGTTATTTACTGGTACTTAAGCACATTTTTCTGGTATCAGTACTTTACTCCACTAC